TGCTGCAGAGCAGGATTAGAGGGACGTGCTGGAGAACTGTCTAAAGGTGTGACGTCCAGCAGTGCGGTTCTGTCTGGTGGCTCACGACGGCTTGAAGCATCACCTTGATGTGCGTTCGTCGTTTCCGTCACGTGTAAACGACTGAAGCTTAAAAATGAACGCACTTGATTTTTTAACGAACTCTTCTGAACATGTATGCACCTCACTGTCCTCGTTAATGAAAATTTACTACAGAGGTCAAAACGTAAGAAGTTTTTCTCGTGTCCCCCATCAGTCCTCTGACAAAATGCCAAACCCCTACGATAAGTGTTCGGACGATAAGGGCACAATTAAAACCAATAAAATCAAACTGGTTTATGTGAAAAACTAGTGTCATTCTAACTCAACCCTTCCTGTGTTGCAATAAAACTTATTGCCCAAAGAAATAAAATAAATGAAGTTTATCTCTTTTTTTAGATCTTAAAGGAATAGCCTAGTCATCGTTGACATAAAGTTCTGTCTAATAGTTTTCACCGAGAGGCAAAAGTCTTTGTCCAGGCTAGGCTAAAGGTTAGCTAGTTTAATTTTTTTTTTTTTACAGGGTTATCAAACAGCGCTCTCAAAAATGTGACGAATGCTACAATATCTAATATAAGACCTTTTTATAAAACTCTTTTGCATGATAGTTTAGTTTACTGCCGTTTCCATAACCGGTAACGGTCCACCAGCACAAACACATTCGATCCGTGCGCCGCATTCAAACATTCGCCTTGAAACACGGACGTTGTTCAAGTGAGAAAACTGGAACAAACTAAACAAACGGTGTTATGAAAAATGTAGCGGTTTAATATTAGCTATTGTAACATTCCTTCACGCCAGTATGTCGTTTTAGAGAAAATGTTTAAGCCCGAAAAACAATAAAAAATCTCACCCTCGTTTAGCTAGCTGTTAGCCTAGACTGGATGAAGACTTTTGCCCATTTCTCCAAACTCCGGCATCACATTTAAGTTGGCTGGACCATCCATTTACCTTTTGACTTTAACGTGTCTCGGTTAAATTATGCGTCTTTAGAAATACTGTATTAAACAAATACCGGTACTATTAATATTAAAGGGAAATCAATTGTTTTGCAGCTTTATTTATTGGTAGCTGGTCAAGTCGTGCTTCACCTCTTAAATATCTTCATTAAACATAAAAATATATCATTTTTAATCGTTATACACTAATATCTTCACATTTTTGTATGATGTTGAAAACTTGAGATTTGATCAATTTTCAACATATTCAAATGAATGTACATTTTTCAGATGTAAAAACTAAACAGGTTTAAAGTGTGCTGACATTTCACTAAGAACTCTTCTGATCAAATTCTAAGGATTATATGGCATCAACGGCATTTTTGCTCATTCTAATTTGCCAAAAATCATGAAAAACGGCAATAAAATCACATCCGTTCTCTGAATTTAGTCGTCTTTTCTTTCGTCCTATTCAAGAATATCTGATGGAGAATGCAGTCCTACGATGACCTTCTTCTTTCCGATTTCTGGGACGTTTTCATGTGAAACTAATCAAAAAGTGCCGAAAACCGTCTTAAAACACTCGCACACAACTATTTCGATCTAAAACTTTCTTCCACTTAAACCCCACCTTGAACCGAACCAAAAAAAAAATCTTTATATAACAGTATTGATCAAATTAGCTCATTTAAAAGAGGAGCAAAGCAGAATAATTTAGGTAAATTATCCCTCTGATGTGGCTTAATGAAAACAAACAGCTAGCTGCCAATTTCTAATGGGCCATCTTTCATCTGAATGGACACAAAGACTTGAAACCCACATCTTATTGAGCGGTCCAATTGGAAATTCACAGATTTGGCCAAATTTTGAAGACGAAACAAAAAAGCTGCCAGCAAACCCTTCAGATATCTATGCACCCACTGGCACACGGCTGCCAATTAACATGATCTCAAAAGCGCTAATGGAATCTTGAGCGGTCACAAAAGTAAATAATTAAATGAAAGGAGCTCTTGTGTCATTGTTCGCTCTGCTCAGGCCCATTACAACCTCCAATATTCTCATGGTAATTTAATGTTCTGGTTTTGTGTCTCCTAATGAATTCGGTGTTTTACCCCCTCCAAACAGAGTTGTTTAGACATTTGTGTACGTTCTGGCAGAGAAACAAAGACGTACATTAGGAGCCATTGTCCCCCCCCCCCCCCAATTATTAAAGTAAACAGAAACACTGAAGAGGCGTCGTACACAGCTGCACACACTCGAGCTTGTGTTTGTGAAGTGGGAGAAAAGGCCAAGCAACCCTCAAGACTTTGTCAGAGATGATCCCATTATTTAAAGCTTCTCAAGAGCCGAGAGGCCGGACGGCCAACGAGGCTTTGAAGGTCCATCGTCGGCACACAGCTCATCCGCTGCAGAGGGCTCGAGAGACGAACAGTTGGCACAAGATGAAATGTTTTCAGCGCGGATCGATCGACGAGACGGTCGTTACCTCGGGTTTTCATTTTGCTGTGATTTTTCTTCCGAGGCTGCCGTCTCATATTTAGTATGAACTGCTGATGAATCCTTAGATGTAAACATCTCAACGTCTCTTCTTCCATTAACGTGAACAACCTTCAGCTACAGTCCTACAAGCCCAGTTCCTAATAAAGTCGGTATGTTGCGTAACGCACAAAACTGGAACACGTATCTTATTGACTGTGGAAGATAGTAAATATAAAAAAATGTTAAAACTAAGAAATTTAGTACAAAAAAAAAAAAAAAAGGGTACATTTTAATTTGAGAGCAACAATTGAAAGAATTTGGGATTTCAGGAAAGCCAAGCCAAACCCTAACTATAGGATTTATCAAGAAGGAAAGCCTTAAGTCTAATCTTACCAGTAGACGATGTGTCAGCCTCACGGACAGAAACTGGAAGAGAGGAGCCTGATAACTGCTTCCCATTCTACTTTTGCAAACTTTAGGAACCACAAGTAAACCTGCAGTCTGAGAGCAAAGCGCCATTAGGAAAATATGAAATAATAAGCTCTGTAATATAAGATGGAGCTAGGTTGTTGAGGGCTTTGTAGGTTATAATATTTTGAATTCTATTCAATCCTCAAATATGCCAGGCCTTCCCTGAAAGAGATTTACAAATCATTGCATTTTAGTTTTCGTTACATCTTTTGCAAGGACACATTTTTTTAATTTTATTTGGGGGTTTTAAATCAGAAAAACGTCACATTTTCAAAAGTGGAACCAGAACATTTGAGCCGTTTCGACATAACGGATCTTGTTAAAGTCGTGAGTTAAGACTGGTTTCTAAACAAATCAGAGGTGAAACGGAGGTCACCCATTAGTTTTGGACCAACATGTGGATATAATACACAAGTTAGAGTACATAAAACAAACAAAACATTAAAGAGTTTCCTAAGATATAAATATTACATAAAGACAGGACACTGAAAATCGGTTTAAACACTAAACCTGAGCATAAACATCTGCAGGCGTTTCCTTTATTACAAATGAATAAAACATGATACAGATCTTGACAGTTTGATCAGAATTTGCAGACCTGACAGCAGCAAAGGTTGAAAACTTCAGGACATGAACGCCCAAGCAGAAGAACAAACGAGTCCGACAGACGACCTACATTCAAGGCACGGCACCGGTACGCACAGACATCAACACAAAAATACTTTTTCTGTTGCGACTCTTTTCTCCTACACTTCGAGTACAATTTTAAACAACCTAAAAAAATCTTGGAAAACATCTTGCACTTGTTAGAGCTGCTGTGGAAACGTTGGCTCTAAAGCAGCAGAGACAATTATGCAACTGACCACTGCCTGGAAAGCCATTTTGTTTCATCATCGCACCGACAAGAACACACATTTATAGTTTCCTCTTGTCCATACAAGCAGCAAAAAGGGCAGAAAATGCAGCTTTAGCACTTCTCCTACAGTAATGTGTTTTATGTTGCCATTTTTCATGGCAGCAGGCAACATAAAGATGTTTATATTGTTTTCATTAAATGATTTAGAAAAGTTTCCACGTACAACAGAATTTAAGTGTCATGAGCAGGGGTCTGCAACCTGCGGCTCTGGAGCCACAAGTGGCTCTTTGGTCCATCTACAGCGGCTCTTTCAAGCTTCGAGCAAACGAACATAAAACTGAATATTATTGGTTGTTATACTAAAATAAAAAAGGGGTTTTATTTTTTTTGCAAATATGTGAATAGTAGAACGATACAAAGAGTAAAGCATACTCACTTTATGCTTTATCTCTTAAAAGTAGGATACTTAATTTTTCCACAGTAAAAAATAAAATCATAGGCCTGCATAGTTCATTGTTTAAAAGTTTACTAAATTGTTAAAATCTGTATTTTTCTTTTCTTTCCTTACAAAAATCTGGTATTTTCTTTTGTCTTAAATGTACTAAAATCAGCAATATTTACATGGGTCAGCTGTGGCTGAGTGGTTAGAGCAATCGTCCTACAATGCAAGAGTTGGGGGTTTGATTCCACCAGCAGTCACGTGCCGAAGTGTCTCTGGGCAAGACACTGAACCCCTCATTGCCTCCGATGTGTGTCCCATCGGTGAATGTATGCGATAAAGAACTGATTAGTCTTTGTAGAGATCTAGTAGAGAGCTGTATGAATGGGTAAATGAGGGCACAGATTTTAATGTAAAGTGCTTTGAGTATCTTGATAAGATAGAAAGGATTGTGGATCTTCAACCACCGCATTGATTTTCTGCAAGTCACTGCTTCTCTGCAGTCGACGGTCGTACGTCGGCACCACAAACATGATGGGTCTAACGTCCACCTGCCAAAACAGACCCGTTGTTTTAATGTTTGCGTAGATTTGGAGAAATATCAGCAGATCTCTTTTAATTAAACAGTGAGTCATGCAGATTTGACTTTTCTTCTAAACCCAGATGGACAGCTGTCACCTTGCCACTGATGGCGGTTGGTGATGAGTGCGCCGACCAGGGAGCCAAACACGCCACCGTTACTAGTGGTTGAACGTTCCTCCGTCCACATCTTGAACAGCGAGCTCGTTTTTACGAGCCTGAGGAGCAGAAGTGAAAGGATTTTCAGAACTCTGTGGAACAGGAACGTTAATGTTTGGGAGAGAACTAATCACACCTGAGAGTTTGACCTCTTCTTCCAGGGCGTTAACGTCTTTCTCACCGTTAGTGAAGTTCATGGTCTTCTTATCACCGGTACGACAAGACCCTTCAGCCAGGAAGAGATAAAACAAGAGAGCTGTCAAAAATACACAGAATTTAACAGCAACTGTATTTTTGCTTAGTATTAAATTAAAAAAGGCATCAGAAGTCGTAGTTCTGGAGTAACCATAGCAACACTGATGTCTGTATACTCTCTAGATAATCTCTTTGGATGTGTCGTCAATAACTGTAGATAAACCATAAAGGGTGTAAACTATTGATGTAAAATAAAACAAGTGTAATAAATAAATTTAACCGCCTGAGAAAACTCAACACAAATGTTTTACTCCAATGATCAGACTGACAACACTTTCAAATGTATGTCAATGTACAACTTGTCAGAACAAAACTTTTGGTTTCCCCCATATCCATTTTCAATTTTAACATTTACATGCAGTCATAATAAAATGATGATTGTGTAGATTAAATCATTTAATAATAATAATTAAAAAAAAAGTGTCTGCACTTTAAATAGTAAAATCTCATTATTATAACAGCTGTTAGCGTTAGCATGCTAATTTTTGTATTTTATATTGCACTAAACACAATAATGTCAAATAGTACATCCATGATCAGCAGCACTTTTTGCTGCTGATCACTGGTCTCCTCAGAGTCTGGATCAACTTACCAGCAGTGACTGCAGGTTGATCAGTCAGAGCGTGTGCAGCAGCTTTGATAAAAGCAGAAATGAAAACCAGTTTGATGCTGTGCTTTTTTTTTTTTTTAAACAGTTTCTTCATTTTCTGGATGTGACTGGAGAGACATGGTGAACACATGGATTAAAGCAGAAAAAAATACTTTCAAAGAATTGTTTTCTACACGTAGATCATTTATTAAATTACATTCATCACAGTACGTTTTTAAATACGATCAAGTTGTTTCAACACCTTGTTGTTAAAACTTTGTGCAGAAATCAATCTTTTAGCTACTTATGATAAACAAACGCCTGAAAGTGACTCTCAGAGACGACTTTATGGGTTTGGGGGGGAAAAAATTAAAGTTAAACGGAGACGCACATCTTTTGGTATAATGTGGGGCACAAACATTCGTCTTTTATGATTAATATTTAGAAAAACTAAAGCAACAGAAACAGCCTCTCACTGTGAGAGAAACTCGAGGAGCTGCGTGCACCTGCAGCGGTGCACGTCTCCATCTCTCTCGTGCACCAGTCGTCTGTACGATCACGACGCTCGAACACATTAACGTTTAATACCAAGATAGATACAACAGTCCCGCGAGGTCGGGGCATGGCGCGGGAGGAGGGGGTGTATCACCTCCCCCGGCTGCAGTGAGTTGGTCACGTGCGAACACGTTTAATCATTTATTAAATGTCATCACCTTCACGAAGGGGCGGGTGATTATTTTCGGGGTAGCGGGGGTGTCCTTGGCTAGATGCAGGTGAGCTCCTACCTGCAGTTTCTCTTCCCACCCGGGCTCACAGTGAACCAGACAGGACCCATTCTGCTCTGACTGGGTCAAACTGTGACTCTGGTTCTCTTTACTGGTTGGAAGCAGCATCACTTTAATCCCTGGACCATCATTCGATTGGATGGATTTAACAAGACCAAAACAAAATACACGTCGTTTTTCCCCTTTTCTCATCGTTACAGACTGGAATCTGTCCTGGCCACGTTCAAAATGACAAATCTGTTGCAGCGACGGAGAAATTTAATCCACGTGGACATCAGAGAAAAATATTACAATGGTCAGACTGGACTGAGACTGGTTAGCTCAGTGTAGTTATTATTACAGAACAAACAGTAAAGGCTGCATCGTCTTACCTCATCCACCTCGTTGAAAGTGGTCAGGATTGCGCAGGTGTTCTGCGCCTCTTTAAGTCTTCGATCAATCCTCAACCTCATGCGGTTCATTTTCATCTGGACACAAAAAAACAAAAACCCGTGAGTCGTCTCCTTTAAGACGATATTTGATTGTTGCGCAAGTTTTTTTTAAATATATATGATAAAAACATTGATTTTGTCAACACCTTTAACCCGTCTTCTCCTCCGACTCCTGCTGTTGAAGGAGCAGGTGGTGCTGAAGCTGCAGGCGAGGGCTCGACAGCAGAAACCACACGAAGAGACAACACGCAGCGTTTTAGTCGTGATGCTCGGATGTGAGCTTTGTGGCTAAACCTGCTGACGTAAGACGCCTCTGAGGAACAGAGAAATACAAAGTTCATCAGGTGATGTGCAAACGTTGAGTTTCAACTGCTTAGTTCAAGAACTTTACAGATACAGAAAAAGTTAATTTGTACAAATAAAAACAATTCACTGCTAATAATATAAACCCTCATGGGTGGAAACAACAACTCTCTTCAGTTGATTACTCTTAAAAAATAAATAACCCTGTGACAACAACCAACTTCTGTTTGACGTCATCCTGTCGATCTGATCTTTATATTAACATTTAATTACCGGTAAATGTTGCCTAAACACATATTTACACTTGTAGCCGAACAGATTGATTATTGATAACTCCACACGGACAGAACCAGGAGATGCGTCATAAGGAACAGAAATAAAAACTAAACGTTTTAGCATGGCAGACAAAAGATACATGAAGATAAGCTTCCTCAGACAGTTGGTAGAGGAAACAGATGAAATTAATGAAACACTTTTGTTTTTATCACTTAACTGATTTGAACTTCTTCAAAACATCCGCGCGCGCGACCGCTGCTTCTCAAGTTACCGACTGTCGCTAGCGTTCAGTTAGCTCGTTTTTAACGTGTAATAAAAAGCTTCTTCTTCCCATCTTACCTGACTCACCGCTGACAGAGAACAGCCAAGCCGTACGGTACATACAGTGGGACCGCGAAAGCACCTCACTAACAGCCGGCGACCTCCATTTTTGTTTGTTTTGTTCGGGATTGGAGCAAAACGGAAGCGCGCCGCTAGCAGGTGTTTTGCCGAAAAAAGTATACCTGCCGCAAAGAAACTTTTTTTTAATCTCAAGTTTGTTCACTTAGGAAGTAAATTTGAACAATGAAAATAAAATTTGTCGCCTTTATGCATTCTTGACAACTGCTTAAATTTAACCATTTAATTATAAACGCCCGAAAATTGCTGTATCTATAAAACAAAAACGACAAGACAGCCCATCTCGTCAAGAAAAGCACCTCCTATAAATAGATACAATGAAACATCTGTAAGTAGCTGTGTGTTCTGAAACGATCTAAGTTGTTAGTGCAAATGCATTCAAACATGCTTCCAATGATGTGGGTACCTTTTTCGGCAAAACACCGGCCCATTCAGAGTCACGCCCACTGGGAGGAACCACTGGAAGTGAGCAGGAGGGGGGTTCGCATCCTCCCCCACTACACTCCGTACCCAATATGTTCAAAGAGACGAAGCTGAAATAATTTCTGTTAATTTGTAAAATCAATAGTTTAAGGTAACATGATTATATTGTTTGTAAAGTTTATAAAACTTGTAACTTTCCCCATTTCTCAAATTGCACAATATCTGAGATGAAACAACAAATTGATGCATCCAGTTAATTGCAATATATATTATTTATTTGCTCAAGGGGGTAATATTAATGTAGCTGGCAAGAATGGGATAGGTTGTCATATTAGACCACTCCTCCTGGGTCTCCATGCAGGTTCCCTACAAATAAGTGAGTCCTCCTGACCTGGAAGCTTCAGGACCTCCTGCAGCCTCACTGCACACAGCAGGTAAGGTTGTCATCAACTTTACTGTGTTTATAATTAGAATTTAAAAAAAATTATATGCATCATTAACAATAACATTCGCACCCTTCTTTTTAAGCTTTCAAATATGTCTCAAAGTCTTTGGAGCAAAGTGTTTTCTTCAAGTGGAATTTGCCTCGATGGGTGCACTGCAGAGCATCTCGTCTCTGTTCTACCGGACGCTTCACCGTCACATTTCGATGCATCAGGTGGTTCTGTAACTGCAAACCAAGGCAGCAGGGATGCGAGAGGGCTGCCGGATCAATTCTTTTATAATGCTGAAAATACTGGCTCAAGGTTGAGGTGTTCCAGCCAGCTGGAGCTCAATCCATCCAGAGAAAGCAGGGCACATTTATCCAGAATACCTCCTCCTGGCTCTTACAATCACCACGAGTGGAGTGTAAAGAGCGGCCATCAAGCCAAGCGTGCCAGAGTGGAAAACATCATCAAAGGCATAACGTGCACAGATGTGACAACAAATCACTTCAGTCATACTGACTATATCCCAAAAGATGGAGGAATTCAAGAACTTTTACACCAGAAATGCAGGGAACGGCTTGAATGTGAAAGCTCGAGTCAAAACCAGGCGACAAGAACAGAGCTTGAGAGTCATCATCAGAACGTGAAGACGGTGGTCAGTTACATGGAGGGAGGAACTGAAGGCACTGACAGCAAGAAGGAAGAGAAACTTCCACAATGGGTTGGCTCTCCCGAACCCTCTCCAAACGAAGCATTTACTGGTTCCTGCCCCGAGTGGAAGACGGTGAAGCTGATGAACTACTTCCAGTCTAAACCAGACCGTATAAAGCTGATGGCAGATATTTTGAAGTACGAACTGTCCAGAGCCGTGAGCAGGAGCGTTGACTCAATTTTCAAAAGCGTGCCACTTTTACAGACATCGTCAAGCGATGCAGAAAACTCAGTAACTGGTACACCGTCTCAATCTATGGTGCATAAAGACGGTAAGTTAAGATTTCCTTGTTGTGGCACTACAAAACCCCCAGACGTCCAAACAGAAGCTCTGTCCCTGGTGATCCCAAAGCCTGACGTGGAACGACTCAACAGCTTCGTCCTCGAGTCCAATTCCACAACTTCCAGTGTCCTAAAGTCCTCAACCACCCTCTGCCAAGAGTCTGCTCTGCACGTCGAGCAAAGCTCAGAGCATCAGCTCGCTCCGAGATGCTGGCAGGATGGAGGCTCTGAAGCAGGTCAGCTGAAGTTTGACGTGCACTGGAATCCATTTAAAGCCAAATCAAAGGTCAACTCCAGATCTGTGAGAAGCCCACAAACACACGCCGAGCCAATGGATCCAAAACTTTTGGAAAGCCCGACTCTGCCCCATGTGAAGCTCGAATCGGACAGCCTGGACAGAAACAGTCTGTACATGCTGAACGTATCCTTTTGATTTGGTTCTCTTTCATTGCCTCAGATACTTCCACTAAGGTCACCTTGATGCAGTGGTGTAGTCTACATTTTTGTAGTGGGTACACTGCGCTTAGAAACCAAAGTACACCGGTTAGTAATGTAATCGTCAATTTATTTTTAAGCATATTGAACATTTCGAAATTTCTCTGATGCTTTTAATTGAATAAATGTACAACAAGCTTTGTGCAACAGTAAACTTTTTTATTAAAAACCTGTTATAGAATTTATACAACAGTATCAAAGCAAAACATGTTCAAGTATTAAGTAGGAAGTACATAAGAGTTATACAAAAAACAGGTTGAACCAACTCCATGTGTCTATGAAATGTTCCAAATGTGTAGACAATGACAAGTATCACTGCCAATGATACGTGACATGGGCTTGTCATTGGATACTTTTAAGTGGGTACACTGAAATTCCCAAGCTTTTCTAGTGAGTATACTCCGTATACCTGCGTATCACGTAGACTACACCACCGCCTTGATGTTTTAAGTTTCACATATGCTCCTGATGATCTTCGTTTAGCAGAGGTAATGTTTTGCTGTAAACCTCAACAGCAAAAAAAGCTGTTCCTTCATGATCAGAATGAGTGCCGTCTCCTTAACGCTGGCGTGTTTTAGGAGTGTCTGACCACAAACCACCTGAAGAAAGCAAAGCTCATGTTCTTCTACACTCGCTACCCAAGCTCCATGGTGCTGAGGATGTGTTTCCATGACGTGCAGGTGGGAGAACGTTTATAATAATGGTCACAATCAGACAGGTCCCTCTTGCAAAAGACAAACGTGGAAATGAAGGACATGCTCCGTTAGACGTCGACCACAATAAAATACCCTAAAATTTATGTAAAGAGAAGAAAAAAACCAGACAACACGATGGAACTGTTGATTCACTTTATTTGCTCGACTTTATTTAGATACAAACCATTGTTGTAACAGTGTTTCAGTCATCTTCGGCTCACTCACCTGCCCTCTGTCCTCAGTTTACGCGCTGCATCACCTCCCAGCTCATCAAGTGGTTCAGCAACTTCAGGGAGTTCTACTACATCCAGATGGAGAAGTTCGCCCGAAACGCTCTCATGGACAGCGTGATGGACGCGAGCGATCTGACTGTAGACAGAGAATCAGAACTGTTCAGAGCTCTCAACGTGCACTACAACAAAGCCAACGACTTCCAGGTGAGGAAGAAAACTTGTTAACCTTTATTTAACCAGGCGAGTCCCACTGAGATCACAGATCTCTTTTGCAAGGGGGGACTGGGCCTGAAGGCAGACTAACATACATGTTTTTGGTCTGTTGGTTCTGGTCTGAACTTCTCTAAAGATCAACGCTTAATGTAGAAAAATACAAGATTACTTAGTTTCAGTCTGTTTGAAAAGCAGGGGTCCTGAAGTGTCACATTATCGTCTTGTGGAGGCAAAACTTTTACTGTGCGTGGCTGTTGGGCAAACCCTCAAATCTCTGACCCCCACTTTATTTTCATATTTTTCATAAATCATCTCTACCCTTTACATCTGTCTATATGGATGATTATTCAATGAAAAATACCAAAACATGTCTTTTCCTTAAAGTTTGTGGTTTTGGAGATACAATGTTTAAACTTTTGTGATAATTCTCTAAATTTTTAACCATCACTGAATGCAGCTGTTAAGTTAGAACGAACTTTAGGAAAAAAGAAGAAGTATTGATGAGGTGTGGCAGCCCAACACAATCTGGTCTTTTTCAGGTTTCAAAATGGCATGAATAGCAATTTTTTTTCGTTACATATGATTTTTTTTATTTTTTATTATTGTTTGCAAACGTTTACAACTTGTGTACTAAATCACTTGACAGCCAAACTCGGAAAACAAATTGACACCAAACCCTTATGTCATCGACTGATGCGTCTGTGCAGAGAAAAAGGTTCAGCCTCTTAAAGTCGAAGTGGTTACTGTTTTTTTTAAACAAATTAAACTTTAAAGAAATCACAGGAAAAGTTCTGCACAATTACGACTGTTAAAAACTAGTGACTAAAGCTTTCCTGCTTTATTGTTAGCAGAAATACCAAGTCAAAGTGTTTATAACGTTTTATATAATAAATGATAATTAATCCCAGCAATAATTTACAACTAATAATTTTTTTCCATAAAGATTGAGAAGTAGACAACTCATGGAGTGACTAAAAACTGCAACAATTGTCATTTCCACAAAAAATGAGTTATTTGACCAAAACACGAGTTTTATTTTTCCATTTTGAAACTCCTCTTTTCTAGTCAGATTTCCAAAATTTATTATACAGCTATTATCTGTGTGCTTACTGAAAAATATTGGCCGTGGGAATTTTTACATTTCTTTTTGTTTATACCAGATTTTTGGGTTTACAATGAATTTTGTGAGAATAAACAGACTGCTGAAAGAGATGTGGATTAGAAAAAAAAACATGCTTTTATGGTAATTTTTGAATTTGTTTTTGCCTAAACAAAGTAGTTTTTGATAGAAGTTGTAAAAATTATCGCCACCAAGCATGCAAATTTGACCAATTTTTTTAAAATTCAAGCCTTCATGCACGAGTTTACATATGCTTCTCAGCTAGTTATTGCATTTTTGTTAGTGACATAATAAATTAAATATGACCATCATCAACCAAATGATTTGATAAATTAAGAAAAAAGTGGACATTAAAGTCACCGTCAGGTTTGCATTGGTATGAAGTCACCAAAATATCAAATTTAATTTGAGGTAGTTTTAAATTTTGCACCATTACTTCATATTTACTACAATTTTCAAATGTTAGTACAACTGAAATAAAGTGAAGGTGTGGGTCGATGAAGAGGCTGTTTAAATAAAAAATCTTAAGGAAAACAATCTGGTTAAAAAAAAAAACCAACACAAACATTTACTTTCCCCATGGGAAACTAAAGTAAAAGATGTTCAGCTTCATGCCCAGAAAGAAAGATGAAATAAAACAAAATATAAAATAAAAAAGTTGTAGAAAATATTGTGTTGAATGAATATGTCCCAAAAATAACTTGTACTCAGGAAACTAGTATTAACTCCTAGACAAGTACAGTGGCCCAAAAAAATGTAATAAGATTGTAATGTCTTGATATTATTTGCTAATTATATATATACATATACAGTGAGGAAAATAAGTATTTGAACACCCTGCGACTTTGCAAGTTCTCCCACTTAGAAATCATGGAGGGGTCTGAAATATGTCCACTGTGAGAGACAATCTAAAAAAAATAAAATCAAGAAATCACAATGTATGATTTTTTAAAATAATTTATTTGTGTGTTACTGCTGCATATAAGTACTTGAACACCTGCCAATCAGCAACAATTCTGGCCCTCAAAGACCCGTTAGTCCGCCTCTAAAAAGTCCACCTCCACTCCACTTATTATTCTAAATTAGAAGCACCTGTTGTTAGCTGCATAAAGACACCTGTCCACCCCACACAATCAGTAAGACTCCAACTACTAACATGGCTAAGACCAAAGAGCTGTCCAAAGACACCAGAAACAAAATTGTAGACCTCCACAAGGCTGGAAAGGGCTACGGGGCAATTGCCAAGCAGCTTGGTGAAAAAAGATCAACTGTTGGAGAAAATGGAAGAAGCTAAACATGACTGTAATCTCCCTCGGATTGGGGCTCCATGCAAGATCTCACCTCGTGGCGTATCAATGATTCTAAGAAAGGTGAGGAATCAGCCCAGAACTACACGGGAGGAGCTGGTCAATGACCTGAAGAGAGCTGGCACCACTGGTTCCAAGGTTATTGTGGGTAATACATTAAGACTCATAGTTTAATCATGCATGGCACGGAAGGTTCCTCTGCTTAAATCAACACACTCCCAGGCCCGTCTTAAGTTTGCCCATGACCATTTGGATGATCCAGAAGAGTCATGGGAGAAAGTTATGTGGTCAGATGAGACCAAAATAGAACTTTTTGGTCTTAATTCCACTTGCCGTGTTTGGAGGACGAAGAATGAGTACCATCCCAAAAACACCTTCCCTACTGTGAAGCATGGGGGTGGAAGCATCATAATTTGGGGTGTTTTTCTGCACATGGGACAGGACGACTGCACTGTATTAAGGAGAAGATGACTGGGGCCATGTATTGCGAAATTTTGGGGAACAACCTCCTTCCCTCAGTTAGAGCATTGAAGATGGGTCGTGGCTGGGTCTTCCAACATGACAATGACCAAAAGCACACAGCCAGGAGAACCAAGGAGTGGCTCTGTAAGAAGCATATCAAGGTTCTGGAGTGGTCTAGCCAGTCTCCAGACCTAAATCCTATAGAAAATGTTTGGAGGGAGCTCAAACTCTGTGTTTCTCAGTGACAGCCCAGAAACCTGGCTGATCTAGAGAAGATCTGTGGAGGAATGGTCCAAAATCTCTGCTGCAGTGTGCGCACACCTGGTGAAAAACCACAGGAAACATTTGACCTCTAATTGCAAACAAAAGCTACTGTACCAAATATTAACATTGATTTTCACAGGTGTTCAAATACTTATTTGCATCAGTAACACACAAATAAATTATTAAAAAAATCATACATTGTGATTTCCGGATTTTTAAATTTTTTTTAGATTATGTCTCTCAGAGTGGACATGCACCTAAGATGAAAATTTCAGACCCCTCCATGATTTCTAATGGGA